AATATTAACACATCTTATCTTTAGTCTGATGGAAAACAAACGCATTTTGAAACCTTGAAATTTTTTATGAAACAAAATTCATGTTTTCCAGCCAGCACCTGTAAATGTTAGTTTGGTGCAGGTCTTATATAGGATACAACTAAATGATGATTCAGCCATTTTCCATCCTGTATTAAAAATAATAAATAAGCTATGATTTGGACTTTCTCAAAACATAATTCAGGATTTATGCCGCTTCACAGCAAATTAGCACAGTGAAAAAAAATAATGAATTGCCATTAAAGAGACAAAAGATCTGTGAGTCAGACACATTAGAAATTCATCCAAATTTACAACAAACCAAATTTTTTAAACAAAGGCATCATGCCTGCTATGTTCCATGCCTCAGCATTCTTAATATGTGAAGCATTAACATTTTTAAACAATGCTATTCTTGAAGCAGAGTGTGAAACACAAATAGGTTTCTACAATCACTTTATAGATGATCTGTAAAGGCTTTTAGCATTGTTAAATTAATGTTAGCTCTTAGGACCATTATGTAAAAGCATTTGTTCTGTTTTTTTTCTCTCACATATAAAGCACATTTAAAAAGTAATAGTAGTATGCATTAGATCTACAGATAAATGTTTGAGAAAAGGATAGAAACATTTCTATTTAATAGGTTTGGGAATTATAGAAAACCTTTAGAACCGTAGGAAATGTATGTCTTCAGGTGACAAACAGAGACACAGACAGATGCTCATACTGCATGAGGGATATTCCTGTAAGATCTATTGCACATGTAATCCAAACTCTTTGACTCCACTCTTGCAATGAGATGCACATGAGTGTTGTGGCCTGCCCACATACAGATCTTTGCCTAATCAGCCTTTGAGTGCACTGTAATTCAGCACTCTTTCCCTAAAAATTACAATATTATTCTTAGCCAATGATTTATGGTGATATTCTTTATTGGATCAAATATATACTGGGAAGGGAGACAACCTTTCAAACACAAAATGAGCCTTCCTCAGGTCACTTTGTGTCTGAAAGGTTTCCTCAGATCTCTCCAAACTATAGATTTGGTCCAACTGTTGTTGTTGTCAATACAGCCTCTGAAGTATTTGACAAAGTGTACTTCACGGAGCAAATGAAAATTCATTCATCCTTTCCTCAGTGATTTAGACTCCAATTTTAGGTATGACTTGGTAAATTAGCATAAAAGTTGGGAGCAGACTTACAGTTACATGATCACATGAATATACGATTATATGATTTAACCAGGTACATATCTATAATGTACATACAATCTATGATATAATTTAAAGGGTTATCCCTTCTTTTTTAACTCTTACTGGGCACATCTACACATGCAATTCATTTGAAACAATAAGCTCCAGAGCAGTTTAAGCTGGGGTAAACTACTCCTGGGTGGAGCATCTACACATGAGCCCAGAACAGCAGTATGTTGAGACAGGGTGGAGCAGTTTACACCCAGGCCACTCCTGCCCTCCTTAGCCTGGGCTGGCCAGAGGTGTTGGGGGTCAGCCCAGGGGTCTCAGTGGTAGTGTTGGGCAGCGGTGGGGCTGACTGGGGCACAAAAATGCTGAAAGTACAAAGCCATGAGTCCCCCTGCTGCCTGAGATGGGCAAGCACAATTTACACCCAAGGTCAGTGTCTCCATATGTGTTTAATTGCAGTTAATTACCCCAGTGTAAGATAGTACTGTCTCCAACACTACTATCTTATGGCAGTGTTAATTAGTTTACTATGGCTAATATGGTTGCATGTGTACACTTTACACCACAGCTTTACTCTTTACTCCTCAGCAAATTAGTCTACTCATTGTTAAGCACACATGTAAACATGGCCACTGTTATCTCAAAAATAGAAATTGCATTTCATATGTAAGGTAATGTAAAAATATAAAGGTTTGGCCAATATTATTATAGGAGCAAATTAATATAAAAAAAAGTCTGAGCGCCTGTTAACTGTAATAAGCAATCATTCATCTCTGAAGATTGTAAAACAGTACAAGTCTGGGTGATCAGGCATGCTCAATGTCTGCCGAAGTGTTGCTGGAGTGCTGTAAATCAGTCATGAGTCTTTAGAAAGGTGGGCATTTTCATTGCTCTCTAATTTGATCATTGCATTTTAAGTTTAGGGCAAAGGCCTGTTCTTGCTAGATAAGTAACTGCTCTTGGTGGTAAGAGTGAAAGAAGTCTAAGAGGAGATAGCACATTTAAGCACACATGCAGTTTACAGCTGTAAGCCTAGCCACATCTGCAGAGCAGTGGCTTTGGAGCAGCAAGAGGCTTGCTAAATAAGTTTACCCTTGTTTGGGAACCCTTGGAAAGGTGCCGTGCTCTGTTCCTGTCTTGGAGCACTAAATCAACTGTCATCTCCTATTATAGAGTGCAAACAGGGGAGGACCTGGCCCTTAGAAATGTATACAGATACATTTGCTATATACTCTACAGGCACGTGTCCTAATTTCTCAGAACAGACTGTGCTCACAGCCTTCTCCAAACTTCATTCCTTTTCTTATAATGCTCTTTGCCCTGAATTACTGATTCATAGACATCATCAGGCTTTGCATCTTTGAACATCTGTGCTTCAGCTGAGTTGTGCTTCAGGCTTTGTTGTCGGTTTTGCAAACATATTTGCTTTTTAAGGAAGAATCAAGCATCCATCCTATGGTGGCTTCATCTACCTTGTCTTGCTTTCTAGCATACAGAAATGCAGCGGAAATAATTCAATATGGAGTGAAAAACAACACCACCTTCCTTGAGTGCACCCCGAAATCCCCCCAGGCTTCCATTAAATGGCTTTTACAGAAAGACAATGACAGAAGGAAAGAGGTAAGTATTGCAATGTTGAAGTACCAATTGATATATGAGGAAAACTGCATTCAGTCAAATGGCTCAGACACTCTGGTTATGATGTAGTTTGGTAAAGTATCATGAATATATCTTAGTGTTTTGGCATAGTGAAGGCCAGCTTTCATTATAAATGATCCTTGAGGGTTTTTTTAGAGTCATAAGACAGGCACCTCACTCCTACTGACTTTTTAATGAGAGCTGACTAAAATCCAGGAGCTAAGCCTAAGTACAAAAGAAACTTTTGATTTTTTTTTTGGGGGGGGGGATGAAAGTTTTCATTAGCAAGATATTAATTTGAGCTAAAAACATGGAGGCAAGCATTTTCTTCATAGTGGTGGAGTCACATTTTCCTTTACTGCATTCTCCAGGGCTTCTTTCAGGAAAATTGTTTATGGGGAGCGTGCCTTTCTTAAGTGATAAGAAAAGGGAAAACTGTATTTCCATTTCAGATCTAATACACTATGAAAAAGGACCTTCTGTTATAAGGATGTCAGCAAAACGGTGCCTGATGTTAGTTACAAATAATAGAAAGCCTTACCCTCATGACAGGCCATCCTTTGAAATGAGAAGGAGAATTTATAAACTTTTTATTAATTAAAACATACCATTTCTCAGATGCACTTTGTAAAGGATTAAATCTTAATGCATCACTTCTCACTCAAACAAAATGCTACAATATACAATATGAGATCGAGTATGCTACAAATAGAATATGCTGTAATAGTGATGGGAGGACATCAAACCCAGTTTGTTTCATTTCAGCTTAGCCGAATTTCTCTAAATTCTTCAAGCCTTTGCTTGAAAAATCTGGGTTGGAAATTTCACAAGAAAAAACTTGCTTATAGCAGATTTTTGTAAAGCATGATGTAAAGTGCAGTAACAAATTATCACGTCACTTGATAATAACAGCATGGTGAAAATTCCTCTCCAAGTATCACAGGTCTGAAACCAGATATTCAATGAGGTATTAGTCTTTGGTGACATTTCTCTAAATTGCTCCAGTACTCAATACAGAATGTTCTTTCTTGATTTCCCATGTCCTGTGGGAAGGCCCCTGAGGAAAATAATTCTGTACAAAATTCCCCTCCCATACCACAGCCCAAGCAAGATGCAGAAATGACATGGAAAGTACAATGAAAGACAGCCCCTGGTTCTCAATCTCTGCACTTTCTTTTTATCAAATGTCATAGGGAACCTTCTACATTTATAGCGACAGCAGAGAAAGTCTCCTTCTACTCATCTCCCCTGCGTGAAAGTAATGGAGACTTCTGTCTTACGTGGCTCCTGAAAGGAGCCCACGTTTGGGCCTGTAGCTTGATCTTCTCAAATGCGGACAGTCACTCTTGAGATTTGTGAAAAAGAGAAATGTTTAGGCAAACTCTTAAAAGAAGACATTCCCTGGAAGTAAAAAGAGAATCACTAGGGGGGTATTACATTTGCCTTATTGTATAATTCACTGCTCCATCACATTTTTTAGGAAGTGTATTTTGCCTTTTGTTCCTCTAGGTCAAACTTAATGAAAGGATCATTGCGACTGAGCAGGGACTCCTCATTCGCTCTGTCCAAGACAGTGATCGAGGACTTTACCATTGCATTGCAACAGAAAACAGCTTCAAACAAACCTTGGCAAAGATCAACTTGAAAGTGTTAGATTCAGAAATGGTGGCCTTTATGACTGATAAGTGGTCCCCCTGGACATGGGCCAGTTCTGTACGAGCCCTGCAGTTCCACCCAAAAGACTTTGTTGCAGCTTTCAGCCACTCAGAAATGCAAATGATTAACCAGTACTGCAAAGACAGTAGGCAGCAAGGGCAGCAGAGAGATGAATCCCAGAAGCTGAAAGGGGACTACGGCAAGTTAAAGGCCCTTATCAATAGCAGGAAAAGTAGGAACAGAAGGAATCAGTTACCAGGATCTTAATTGTTGCTTTGGAGGATCAAATGTCTTTGTCTTCACTGTAGGGGGCTTTTTTATGTCTGCTGAGAGCGTATTTTGAGGAAACAACGTGATAAAAAAGTAAAACTAGTAAAGCAAGTCTGAGAAAAGGATCTTTCTCCCAATAAAATGCAGTGCAATGTTACATCTAAAGATAAAGGTTAAGAGCATTTCTTTGTGCATATTAGCAGCATGTATGAATATATATCTTAACCCAGATTCAGTGGTCACATCTTGACATTTACATGCATTTGGAAAGAAAATAAAACTTGATGCATTAACTTGCAACTCTGGAACCGAGCAGAACAGAAAGGTAAAGAAAAAATTTGGGTTAAGATAGATGTTCCAATGAGAGTGTTATGAAGGTAACACTTTGCACCGCATTTGCAAATATGAGTTTCTAATTGTTTACTGTTCAAGACTGGGTTTACAGCTTTTACACATTGTACAAGTCGCGTGAATGCATGCAGCAAAGGTGCTGGCAAAATTAAAGTACAGTAAAAGAAGTGGTTGATTCAGAAATATACTGAAGGTCCAATGAAGGAAAAAGTAGGACAAAAAGCAAAATGTGCTTGTTTTTATATTTTATTCAAGAAACACTGAGTATAGTTCACAGTATAAGTTGTAATAAATGAAAAAGTTTCTGGGATTTAATTTACAAAAACCTAATGCTCATATGGACTTCAAATAGTATATTATGTCCTGTAACAATATACCACTTTACAAGCAGTACAAATCTAACATGAGAATGTTGGTTAGACATCTAAGTCACTTAGGTAATTTTGAAATGTTATCCTTCCAAGACTTGCAAGTGACCACAATATGTACTGTACAATATACACTCAAAAACTCCATCCAGTGATTTCATTTAAGGTGTCCCAAATGATTAAATTAGAGCTGATTAAAAAGCATGGGGAGGGGGGAATCAAGAATATTTCAGGTTTGTTTTTTTTTAAATGGTATGTTCAAAGTTTTCCAGAACAGATATATTTTTAAACACTTTACAAAAGTGTTGCATTTCAAAAGTTTTTTTTTTTTTTTACCTCCATTCTTCTTTTAAACTTGTTTTTAACCCTTGTCTCTTTTGCTATCAAGTTATTGAAAAGGGAAGGAAAGAGGAAGGAGAGAAAAAAAGAAAATGAAAACAATATTTTACCAAATATAGGGTATTTTTAATATACATTTTCATTTTTAAAACAACTTTTTCAGGAAACCTCTAATGAAATTCAGGATCTATACAATGCTAAATCGTTAGAAACATGGTGAATATCTGCCGGTTTCTCTTGCCATTGATCTGATGTGGCTCATCTAATATAATTCAAAAAAGGAACAATTGTGTACGGTACCACAGAATGTCGAATTTTAGGTGACAATATTTTATTTTACAATAATTTTTAAACAAAATAAGCTAATGAAATAAATAATATATTCAGCTTAGCAAAAAAAAAAAATATTATGAGGATTGAATAAAAATAACTTCTGAACCTAGAGATGAGGATAATAATTTTAAATGAATAAAATAAAATTTAAATAAAATGAAGATTTGAAATACAGCATCTATTTATTGTTATGTTAACTTTATTGCTTTTAAGGTTGCTAGCCAAAGTGCTTTGGGCATTATTCTGATCCCACTTCCATTGGTTTCAGTCAGGAGTAGCTGTGCTGAGGGCAATAAATCTACTTTAGATTGGCACCAATGTGATAGAAATCAGAATTTTGGGTGCAGTGGTTTCAAACTGATTTCAAGCTGATACATGTGGTATCAGCCATATTGATTTTTTTGCTGTTCAGTGCAAGAAGAGCTGGGAAAATAGGCCCTGATTGAGCATATCACTTAAATATGAGTCTAAGTCCCATTGACTACAATGGGACCACTCACATACTGAGCTGCAAATTTAGTGCTGTTTACTGGTTCTGGCTTTGCTTGAAAGGGATGGGATTGCTCGTGTGAACAGACACTTAAGGGATTTTCTGAATCAAGGCCTAAATGCGTATTAATGACCTGTGTACACTGGTACCTGAGGGCCTGACACAAAGTCTATGGAGGCCAATGGGACGATTCATCATTTGCTTTAGGCCCCAAGAACTGGCAGAGCAGAGTCTACAAAGATTAAATAAAAATAATATGAAAAATGAAAAATCAGGTTTTTTTCCCCAGGTGTCTTTCAGTGCAGCAAGTCTCTGTATCTGACCATGGGAGACTCCTGAAGAATCAGCACTTACGTTACAAACCAAAAACTTATTTTGGGCTCCACACTATAAAGCTACCTCCTAGATTGACATTAGTGCATATACTCTGTATGCTGCAGTTGTTCTTCCTAGTTTATCCAGCACATTCACTTGCACAATTAGTATAATGTTAATGTCTTTTTTGTGAGCATCATAATTGCTTCCAGATGAAACATGGCAATTAATGGGCATATAAGGGTACAGTTTATTTCTTTGAATAGTTGAAAAGAGTAATATTTTAATATGCCCCCATTGGGCCTCAAAAATCATAGCTATGTTATTTTCTAACAGAATATTGGCAATATGGGATTCAGTTTTAAAAAAATCAGCCTCTCTGAATTTCTTATGACATAAAATAATATTTTTTAAGCTGCTTCTTATCCAGTTATTATGGTATAACTGTTTAAGGGATTACACTTAAACTAACATTTTCTGCTGCATGAAAATATAAGCATATATATATAAGCTTCTGTTATTGTGTACTAGTCCAAACTTTTATGCTTTAGCAGACCTCCCCCTATAGATTAGCTAGGCATCAGATTCTCAACTGGGATAAATCAGTGCAACTTCTATGATGCTTCAGTGATTTGCACTTGCTGAGAATTTGGCCCTAAATGTACAGAACAGACATACAATTTTTATGCGTTAAAAGTTGCCCTCCCCCCTCCTTGTAGGTAACACAGATATTTAGGACTGTAATATTGTTTGTGTTATTTAATACCTTTCTATTTTGGGAATTACTAAATAATGTATATAATTTTATTCCTTAAAGAAAAAAAGAAAAAAGAAACACCTTCTAGACCTAACTTCTCCAAATGTAAAGTTCCCCAAGTTCTTTGTCAGTGTAATTTTTGTTGCTGTTTTTATTTTGTGTAGTTTGTAAAGTTCGCTGAAACCCTGATTTAACATTGTGTTCCTTGCAATTGTTAGTGCTGTAGATATGCGTGTTTTATTAAGAAAACACTTTTTGAAAAGTATAGGTATGTGTATAGCTCCTAGCATGATGAAGCTGTCATTACAGTGAATGTTCATTATATCTTATGTAAGAAAGAACAAAATGTAGTTTAACACCAGTGCTATTTAATTGGATACCTAAAATATTATTTGCCTGACAAAATAAAAGTGTGTTGAGACAATCTCAGAATCGGTTTTGCTTTTTCATTTATATAAAATCGGGAACTTTATTGCTTCTCAAAAGACGACCCACTTCATTTTTGCAGTGAAATCATTGCTTGGGAGGTTTCAGTTTTTATAACACATCAGCATTTGCCCCCCTCACAGAATGCTATCAAAGTCTAAATCTTTTTTATTATTATTATTATTAGAACATTTTGCTTTCAGAAAAAAAAAAAATACTTTTCAATGGAAAGTCTAAATGAATAGGAAGTTTCTGGTTTGTTCCAAATATCCTGATTTAACAACAAAAAATGAACAGTAAAGGATATCAAAACAAAAAGCCAAAAATCAGATGGTAGAAGTTGTTTTGTTTGCTTGTTTTTATTTAATTGGAAAGCTGTAAGCATTTCTATGGGATTTTTTTTTTTTTTTTTTTTTT